GAAATAATCAAAAGAAGTATACTATGAGTCTGTTTCATCCGGAATATATAGGTACTTTGCAATATTCCATGTATACAGGGTGTACCTCAATTAGCTTGCCAAACTTTATCAGCAACTCCTTCGATCAAAAATGGGGGAAAAATGTTTCAATAAACATAAGTCGGAAAATCGCTCTTAAGGAAGCTATACCGTTTCCTTACAGGAGGCTCCTGAAAATGATATTTCCTGAATTTATCCAAAACGACATGTAATGAAAATGATGCAATTGTGCACAAGACCTCAACTTTTTGTGCCCCATGCATTTGAAAATGAATTCATCTCAAAATTTCATACAGGAGTATATAAAACAGGATGGGACGCTGAAAATATCATTTAATTGATTGAGCAGAACTGATTACCCGATACACTGAAAATTTCAAAATAATCCTATGTTCCGTTCTCCAACGTGTAAAAGGCCATCGAGTTGAGACACCATGTATACACGAAATGAGTTGAAAGGAAGAAAAGTTAGCAGTTGTATATATACAGGTGTACCTATATCAAATGTCACTACTATGACGCTGCAATGACGTATCTACGACGTCCGAGAATCACGTCGGTGTGACATAGCAATTTGCGTAGGCATAGTCATTCAGAAAATTTGACAGAAAACTGCTATTCACATTTTTTTTGAGTGACAAAGAATGCATGAATATACGTTACTCAACAAACTGAAGCTAAATGCGCCAACATCCTTCACATTTCTGTTATCAAACTATTCTTACTCATGCTTACATCTTGCCGACACACACTACATAATTTCTTATACAAATGCGGGAACCTGATCTCATTCCAGTATTAGTTGAAAAAGAGTTCGGACACAGCTGAACTTTTGTCCTTCTCTATTTTCTATAATACAATGGTTTGAGTGAATAAAAGAATAAAACATATACTTTGTTCTTTGTCATTTCGATTTCTCTAGTAGTGCCTGATTGTCAAATACGATTTTGAGGTTAAATTTTCTGTCAAATTAATCATAGCCGTAGATGGACAATGGAAATAGGATATAAACTTCAATTTATAGTGATACACTTCTAGCAGAACAACTGTAATATAAATAAAGTGAATGCATGTAACAACATTTTCATATTAGAAAAGATATACACATATAAATGAATTTATTTCTGACAGTGACATTATAAGCTTATATCGTCATAGTTACGATATCTATTATGAGGGTCATAACTCCCTTGGGATGTTATAGATGCTATAATTCCCTCTAACTAAAATTAAATAAGAAATGCATAGCAACAATCATGCCAGTAACGTAGCAATAAGGAATCTCCTATTCGCGGTAGTCAAGATCATCATCTGACGTTCTGATGACATTGAAACTATACGGAAAAACATGTCTAACTTCCAATCGGGAAGGTATCTAATGAATGAAATCAGTCAGAAATAAAATTATCTATGTATCACGGGAATTACTGAGCCTCAATAACCTCAGGCAATTGCTGTCCCTCGGGCCAGAGGCCCTCGGGACGCAAACTTTGCCATCGGTAATTAAGGCCCTCATAATTCCCTTAATACATAAATAACTATTATAGCTATAATTCCCTACTGTATGTGAAACTGTACTCCCAGTGATAAGTTCAAAACATGATGAAGATATTAATATCAAATTAAAGGAAGGCAATATCAATATACAGAAGTAATATAAGTACGTTCAAGTGAAGTACTCCTGAGAAAATTGCAAGAAATAGAGTACATGAACTTGTGTCCGGTAATGCTTCATTTAGGAGATACAGAGTGTTGAAATACAGAGAACAAATCATTTTTTGATAAATATTCCATAGGAAAAATGTAGTTTATTTTGACGAGACCTAGCACACACTTGGTTTTGTAAAGTTCCCAGCAACTTCACTTAGCTCAATTATCCTAGATTGGGTCCTATATAATAGACGGAAGAGAAAACTTAATTTTCAGCAGGGGTTCATAACCTGTGGTACCACAAGTATATTTGATGGCAAACGCTTCATTTATTGTATCGATTTTCCACCTTTTCCTGCATTCACTTTTCACTGTTAAATTTTGAATTTTTCATTTCATCATGTAATTTTGCGATTAATTCCGCTTTTCCAAGATGATTATTTTGTTTTGTATTTTGTGTGATGATACAAATGGAATTTTGTTGTTGAAATCGTCTGCTTTGTAAATTGATGGAACAGCAGATTCTCTAAAACAGATTCGGAAATATTCTGTTTGAAAATGGGCCTAGAATAAAGTTTCATTCTAATCAGATGCTGTTATGAGAAGTCAATTTCAATGAGTACCTTACAAAGTTTGCTAGTCTTCGAATTGATTTTCCACCCAAGCCTTTTCATATCTTCCTTCCATTAGCGAATGGTTGATATTTGTTTTGGAAAATTGAATTAATATATTAATTTTTTTCAGAATAAGCACAATTCATTATACAGCAAGTCATTTCCATAACTGCTTTTTTCTCGAAAGTATAATCATGAAATTTTATTTCAATTCTGACGTTTATACAGGGAGTTTCATTGTGAAAGGTAAATAATTCAACTGTGGATAGGGGTCACTGGAGTGATTTCAAAAAACCCATGGTTGATGGGTCTTCGACTTCTTATAACCGAGATACAGGATGTTACATCAATTTTGTCCATATCTTCATTGTCTCATAACTTTCCAACCAACCTTTATATATTTTTAAAAATTGGAACACTTGCTCAATCTACCCTGTGGAATTGATTGAGGCAACAACAGTAGATAAAATATAGGTCCGGCTTCACTTAAAATTCACAAATTCTTTCTGCCAGAAAACAACACCCTATACATTCGAATTTCTCATTTTTCTTGCCATATCTGAAAAGAACATCAAAATGTTTATTCAACGATGTGCTTTTTATTCGTGCACAGACGATTTTAATTATTCATATTATGTGCTCAAAATATTATTTTTGCTCATTTTGGCGTACAAAATTGGAATCAGACGAGATTCATTAATTTTATTACTTCCTATTCAGTATACGTGAGTTTTACATTCAGAAGGAGTATTTCATATCGTTCTTTGTTCCAGACTTAGTTGCAGGTCCGTCATCAAAACTATACAGGGCTTTTCACGATAAGCGTTAATTAGATGTTTCGAAGGTATGTATAAATTAACATGATCTACACGTCTGAAATATTTGAAACAAACCGGCGTTGCCGCTTCTACTCGAAAGTAGCAGATTTTTCAAATGGGACACCCTGGATACTTCCTAAAGAGCTGATTCAATCGATTCACAAAGTTCAGGGTCTAGTGGGACTTATAACTGGGATATTTAAAGTGAGAAAATCGAGATGTTCCAACTTTAGAATTATTTTGTGAAAATATTTATTATTGATCAAAACGGCTTTTATGTCCCTATCTCAACTTTGTATCTATTGACATTTAATCGAAACAAATACAGGATGGTTCATAATTCAGATTTCTGCTCCACCCTGTATCTGTTTCAATTGAATATCGAATGGAAAGTTGAAATAGGTACGTTGAAGCCGTTTTGACCGTTTCAACACAAAACATTTCTAAAGTTGAAACATCTAGATTTTCCACATCTTATATCTCAGTTATCTGTCCCGCTAGACCTTGAATTTTTCGAATTGATGAATTCTGCTGTTCAGCAAGAATCCAAGAATGTAATGAAATACAGGGTGTCCCATTTGAAAAATCGAAGTTGCTGCTACTTTCTAGTAGAAGCGGCAAGGCCGGATCGTTTCAAATATTTCAGTAGTGTATATTATGTTAATTTATACATACCATCAAAATTTCAGATTCATCCGTCGCCTGGTTTGCCGAAAACGTGAAATTAACGCTCATCATGAAAAGCCCTGTATAGTTTTGATGACGGACCTGCAACTGGGTCTGGAACAAAGAACGATATGAAATACTCCTTTCAAATGTAATACTCACGTATACTGAATAGGAAGTAATAAAATTAATAAATCTCGTCTCATTCCAATTTTGTACCCAAAAATGAGCTAAAATAATATTTCGAGCACATTATATGAATAGTTAAAATCGTCTGTGTACGAATAAAAAGCACATCGTTGAATAAACATTTCGATGTTCTTTTCAGATATGGTAAAAAAAATGAGAAATTTGAATGTATGTATGTAATGTGTTGTTTTCTGGCAGAAAGAATTTGTGAAATTTAAGTGCAGTCGGTCCTGGATTTTATCTTTTGTTGTTGCCTCAATAAAGGGTAGATTGAGCAAGTGTACCAATTTTTAAAAATATATACAGGTTGGTTGGAAAGTTATGAGACAATGAAGATATGGACAAAATTGATGAAACATCCTGTATCTCGGATATAAGAAGTCGAAGACCCATTAACCATGGGTTTTTTTTTCATCACCCCAGTGACTCCTATCCACAGTTGAATTATCCACCTTTCCCAATGAAACACCCTGTATATTGTCATATTCAAACAACTTGGAATGAAAAAGCGCGGGACGACTATGGTACTCTTGTCACAATGCAAGGTGTGTAACTTGATAAATCTAAACATTCAAAAACCCTATTCGTCATTTCTGTGTCCGAACTCTCATCAAACTAATACCATCCAGTGACTCTAGAGATAAGTGTTTATCACACCATGTTTGATGAAAATTTTTTTCACGTTTTTTAATTCGAACGTCATTTCGACTTCACCATCAGGTTAATTACTGACGTCAATAAACGTGAGTAATATGACGTCATCGGACTGTGACTCATACACGTTTTTCATTACGTCAAAAGACGTCTACTCCTGACGTCACCTTGGTATTTCAACTGACGTAAGAAGACGTGACTGTAACGTCATCTGGTTGCCTGGGTATGGATTCCCATCAAGTAAGCCGAGTCAATAAGAAAAAGGAATTATACCTGTCCATATCCCTGTCGGTAGGCGTGGCTACAAACGCAGCCCTTTGCATCAGCCCTACGAAGCACCAGAAGGCTGCGACTTCGTCTTGCAACTCACAAAGAACGGGGGCCAGTAGGTCGCTCATGCCTTGAGTGTACCTGGAAATATAGTCCGTTAAATCTAAATTCAAGATATGTTGTTTTTTCAACAGATGTTTCAAGTCTGTTTTTTTATCAATGCAATTAGATTCTTGAGAAATTGAAGACATCTCTAGAAAATTCCTTTTTGTATACCTCTACCACTATCAAAAAACAATCTTGTTAAGGAATATTCCATTTATGATGGACTAAGAATTTATAATTGCTCACCAATACATCTACGAGAAATTCAATCATTTAGATTGTTTCAAATAAAATTAAAAGAATTGCTATCCACTCATCCTTTTTACAACGTGGAGGAATTTCTTAGTAGTGAACCCTTATGATAGCATTAAAATACGCTTGCCTCTATATTTTAGGATTGATTTTATATATTTGCATCCTGTGGCTTCATCTGCACATTTTATTAAATTATGTCTGTATTTGTACCATCTTTTGGTTTTTGACGTTCTTGATGTTTTTAATGTTTTAATTTTTTTTATGTTTCCGATATTTTCAATATTTTTAACATTCTTAATATTTTACTTTGTAATAGTTATACAATGACTTTTTCGATGAGAACTATTTCTTCTGACATAACAGCATATTTGATTGATTGATTGATTGTATAGTTGCTTTCTATGGCTTGAACTTAAGCTGAATGGTAATCCATATTATGGTCCAACTCATTCACATGACTTGCAAGGGCACATCTCTCTGGATGGTGTTTTCAGTCGCTCCTGTGGGAGGTGATTCTGCTGGCCAAAGATCGTCCAGATTGGTCAATATAATGTTGATCACAATCTGCACAGGGGACACTGTAGACCACATTCGTACGTGCTGTTGTCAAGACTTTATCTTTAATTTTTGGTAAAATTGATTCCAAGGTAAGAACTGTTTCATTAGCAATTTTGATATTGATATTAGGGATTTGGCAGAATTATCTCGACAGTCTGGGAGTCAAGTCTCTAATGAGGTGTATAAAACGGGTCTAGCTTGAGAAGCATTGGTATTTAGAATTCATCTCATCATTGTGTGAAATGTTAGGGATGTCTCTTTCTGCTATTGAAGAAGTGGCTGAGTTAAATACAAGTTTTTTTGAAAGTTTATAGGGATATCCATTTTCAATAATCAGATTGTAGAGGATATTCAGTTTCTATTTTTGGAATGAAATATCTGAAATTCTGGACACTCTTGCCTTCATTTGCTTAACCAGATTGATTTCCATTGATGTGAAAATTATGCAAGAACAGTTTTTTTTTCGTCTTTTACAAGAATTTTAAATGTTTCGTGACACTGTTTGTCCAGATAAATGTTACATCGACTTTCAAAATTTCCTCTCAATATCATTGTGATCATCCTCAAATAGTGTAAGTACCATTTGTACATTGCATAATTGCTGTCATTGTACACATAAAAAATCATATTGACTTTGAATCTTGTTTCATCATCATGTTTAAAATCATAAGGTGATGAATGATTCCGTTGTATATTACTGATTGTTTGCCAATAATGGAGTTATATATGGGTTTGCTATAAATTAATTCAACTGTCTCGTTTCATGCGTATGAATTGGTTTGACTTCAGTAAAGTTCAAGATGAATATTTTTCAATTTTTTCCTATGAAATGAATGAGAGAACAAATTTTGAGTTTATATAAAAACAGATTTTTCGAGTTATGAAGATTCATCCCAGACAGCACCAGATATTCCATGAATCTCCCTATCATATTCCTTTTGGAATATTGGAATATTCTAGAAATAATCTGGAATATTCCGGAATATCTGTAGAATATTCTCTAAATATGCGAATGGGAATTCCTCAGATAATCATAGAATATACCCAAAAGAATATTCTATGTTGAATGTTCCTGGAATATTCCAATAAACATATTCTAAAATAAAAAAAGCGACCCAAGTAGGGATCGAACTCGTGACCTCAAGACTATCAGAGCAACGCCTTGACCACTAGGACAGTAATCGAATTGAATAATGTTATACATATCAAGTTCTTGTGAGAGCATTGTTCGAAATCGGATTATAAACACTTTTTGTTTCAAAATCCCCTTACATCTAATTGATGTTCGATACTCATATCTCTGAAATAATAAATGGTATTTATGTGTTGAGAAACAAAGGAATATTCATGGAATATTCCATGAATATTCACCACCGAATATTCAGTTGAGAATATTTCATGAATATACCGCACAGAATATTCAGTTGGGTATATTTCATGAATATACCGCACAGAATATTCAGTTGGGTATATTTCATGAATATACAACAGAGAATATTCAGTTGAGAATATTCCTGGAAGATTCATACGTGAATATTCCCTGAACATGTCCGACTATTCACTTTGGAATATTCCTTTTAGATGTTCCAGAGGCATGTATATATTCTAGGAATAATCGATGGATATTCGGAATATACTCCTCCTTTTTAGCATATTTAGAGAATATTCTATGAATATCCAGTGCTGTCTGGGATAGTTGGTTCCAGGCAATGTGAATTGTAAATGAACCTAATAGTTTTAGTTTTAGGTGAAGGAAGCGTAGATATGTGGCCTACTTGCTTGGTTACAGCCTCGATCCCCACCTACTACTACTACTACTACTACTAATAGTTTTATTTCGCTAATTCATCAATGGTTTCGAATGTGATGATATGTGCTCTCTCAAATTTATATCAAGTATTGTTATTTTGAGTAAATCACAGAGAAATATATAGTCTCCAAATATCCAAGAGGAATGAAATTTTTAATTTTATATAAATTATTTTTGGATGTGTGATAAATTGACATTCATCATACAGGACGTGGAAAGAGATTCTGAATTGATATTCAACAGATATAATTCAATGTTCGACGTGGCAAATAGCCCAGAAAGTATTTGTTTTCTGTTGAATATTCAGAATTATATTATATGCATATCTTTATATGAAGGAGAATGCAAATTCTCCACTTCAGAAGATTTTGTATTCAAATTCTTATCGTGTGTGTTCAATAGATGTAATTCAATATTCGTGGTGGCATATAGCCACGAAAGTAGTTGTTTTGTGTTGAATAAACCGATAGAGAATTAATATTTTCATCACATATGTAGAATGCGACTTCTCAATGTATTTCTTTATATATATCTTTTTTTGTGTTCATGAATATGTCTGAGAATGTTCCTTTTTGATATAAAATGCCAGTAATTGGATTCAGTGTTTTTCTCAGGTGATCGATATATTCAGCTCACGATAATTGTTCATCTATAGAAAGTTCTAAGAATTGTATAACATCTAAATATTCAATGGCCTTCTAGCCGAAATATGTTGTTTATTTCGATATATACAGGGTGTTATTTAAGTACGTGGCCAAACTTGAAGGGGTGATTCTTTGAGTGATTCTAAGACGAAAAGTTCATATAAACATAGGTCCGGTAATGCTTCATTTTCAAGATACAGGGTGTCAAAATTTTTAAAAGAAATCGTTTTTTTCGTAAATATCTTAATAACCCTTCAACCGATTTTATTTAAATTTGGCAGTGTTATTCAAAGTCGTGAAGGGCTGATTTAACCCTAATAATATCAAAATTATCATGTCCAGTGGCGTCCCGGAAGGCACTGTAACCAATATTTTTGACAGAAAAAATGTGCGCCACTGATTTTTTTGCAATTTTTGTATTTGTTTCACATTGAGCAACTAAAATTACAACTTTTTTATATCTAGAATTTTTTTCGTATCTTGCTTTGTTTTTGAGAAAAAACATAAAAATCACTTCATTGCACATCTCTGTGACAACACAATAAAACATTTCAACTACGAAACCATCAAAAACTGGGGTCTTACTTATATTCTTTCATATCAATACTCTATTCTAGTCTTGGAGTTTTCTATCAAAATTAATGCAATGAAAAAACAAAAAATATGTATGTATGAATTGCAGCACTTGCCTTCGGCTCTTGGCTTCGGCTCGTCACAGGGATGTGCAATGAAGTGATTTTTATGTTTTTTCTCAAAAACAAAGCAAGATACGAAAAAAATTCTAGATATAAAAAAGTTCTAATTTTAGTTGCTCTATGTGAAACAAATACAAAAATTGCAAAAAAAATGAGTGGCGCACATTTTTTCTGTCAAAAATATTGGTTACAGTGCCTTCCGGGACACCACTGGACATGATAATCTCGATATAGTTAGGGTTAAATTAGCACTTTACGACCTTGAATAACACTGCCAAATTTCAATAAAATCGGTTGAAGGGTTATTAAGATATTTACGAAAAAAACGATTTCTTTTAAAAATTTTGACACCCTGTATCTTGAAAACGAAGCATTACCGGACCTATGTTTATATGAACTTTTCGTCTTAGAATCACTCAAAGAATCACCCCTTCGAGTTTGGCCACGTACTTAAATAACACCCTGTATATATATCAGTTTCTCTTTTTGAGATATACGTATACGTAGATTTGTTATAGTTGAGAGTCGGCTTCTGAATTTGCAGCAAAGATGATATCATTTTCATGTCAATTTCACTATCATTGATTATATTTCAATGAATCCTTCAGAGGATTTAGAATTGATGTATAATGAAACTAAAATTATACCTGAAACGAAACCTAAAATACATTTTATACAGGGTATCTGTAAAAGGTCCTTACAAAAACATACCACATATTCCTTAGACCAAAATAAGTTGATTTGAGTAAAATTGCCTGAGTACAAAGTTGCATCGTTTGGGCTCCAGAGGGCCTTAGAGTTACAATTTTCAAATCGTTTTTCCCATATAAATTTGAAACGGCACATGCGATTTTGCTGAAATTTGGTATTTTGATAGAGTTTTAGGTGGCATAAATAATGGTGTAAAATTTTGTCCGATAATAATACATAATTGCACCTTTAAAAATTCTACGCCAATGGAAGAAAAGGAGTTTGGGTATGAAATTTAGATTGCGCAACTCATTTACTTTAAGAAAGGTTCTCTTGATAAGACTCGATTGCTCTTATGGTTTTGACGAAATTTGCATTTTAGTAATTTTAAATTACTAAAATACAAACATAAACAATAATGATTAAAGTACAAACTTTGTCAAAACCATGAGAGTGAATCGAGTGTTATCAAGGGTATCTTTTTTGTAGTAAATGAGTACGCAATTCAAATTTCATACTCAAACCCCTTTTCTGCCATTGGCGTAGAATTTTTAAAGGTGCAATTATTTGAAATATCAAGTTCTACGCCTATGGCAGAGAAGGGGTTCGAGTATGAAATTTGGATTGGGTACTCATTTATTACAAAAAAGATACCCTTGATAACACTCGATATACCCTAATGGTGTTGACAAAGTTTGTTTTTATATCATTATTGTTCATGTTCTAAAATTACTAAAATGCAAATTTCGTCAAAACCATGAGAGCAATCGAGTCTTATCAAGAGAACCTTTCCAAAAGTAAATGAGTTGCGCAATCTGACTTTCATACTCAAACTCCTTTTCTTCCATTGGCGTAGAATTTTTGAAGGTGCAATCATTTAAAAAATCGAGTTCTATGCCTATGTATTATTATCGGACAAAATTTTAACACCATTATTTTTGCCACATAAAACTCTATTAATATACCGAATTTCAGCAAAATCGCATATGCCGTTTTGAATTTATATGGTAAAAACGAATTTAAAATTGTAACTTCAAGACCCTCTGGAGCCAAAACGGTGCAACTTTGAACAAAGGTAATTTTACTTAAATCGACTTATTTTGGTCTAGGGAATATGTGGTATATTTTTGTAAAGAACTTTCACAGAGCATAGGTTTCAAGGTTTGGAAAGAAATAGCTGAAAACTTACCCAAGTTTGGGATTGTATATAGCATAATTGAGTAATATATGTTTCATCGTCATAAGGTTAGGATTGTCATCACCAGCAAAAAAGGGGTTGCCCCTGTCTGTTCTCACCACGTCTTTTTCAACAACACTCTGTATCGTTCGCCTGAACTGGTTCAACCTGTTCTCATTCAGGTCCAGTCTTCGTCTACTGATCTCTTCATATTCCTGCAAAATATGTAAATATTAGAATTATTCTTTATGCTCAGCTATTTCAAGAATCGAAGACATGAGCAGGGGTTTTTAAAGATAAAAATGTCAGCGTGCCGCTATTTTCATAATAAAAGCGAATGCCACTCTGCCACATAAAAACAATGACAAGGAATGCACACCACGTGGCCAACTGCAACTGGCTGTCCATCAGACATTTTTATTTGAACATGAATTGGATATTGTGTAAGGGAACATCATGTCCATGAAGGACATGAAGAGTAAACACTATGCATCACCATATATAGCTAGACATCCATCGTGTATCTTTCTGTGTACATCCTGTGTCCATGAATACCTTGGACATCTCTGTGATGCCTGGAAATAATTCAGTATGGCCAACAATCGTAGGATATTTAAATATTCCAAACCGTTCCAAACTAATGAGTCCATATAAATTTGAATCATAAAATGCCGACAGCAGCTTCCAACTGTTTTTAAATATATGAATTAGGTGAATTTGTATTTATTATTCACATTACATTGACATCGATTTAAGAGGATTGAGTTGTGGAACATTTGTTACATGAAATTAACCGCATATGTATGTAAATATAACGAGTGTGTTCACTGGGAATGGATTCTGAAATGAATGTGACTATTCTAAAATACAATCTGGGAAATTCTTCGTATGTTTTCCAGCGTTTCCATGGAAGAGAGTTTGTTTCTCCCCAGCAGATCCAAGACGATGTGCTGGGACAATTTCTGATATCATCATGTTGGGGATGCAAACCAACATACAGAACACTGCAAGGAAAATATCTTCCGATGAGGCCTGGTTCAGTAGGAACTGCTATAGAGCTCTCGCTTCCGAATAGGCAGCATTCTATCAATGGCAGCAAAAATTCAGGACCTGCGACCAGAGCAGAATATGTCGAGGCTAGAGGCATATTCAATGAGACAAATCGATCATCAAAGGATGCTTATAATAACAAAATAAGATCGAAACTTCTGGATGTGTTATATAACGGATCCCGTTCATTTTGATCCTTCGCCAAAGCTGTATAGGGACAAACTTCACTTCCAGCTCGTTGCCTCCTTTAACCACGCAAGGAAGATGGAACACTAGCCACAACTGCCCAGGAGGAAGCCAACATTTTCGCATCCATTTACTGAAAATTCCACTGTGGTATCAATGGAAAAACAACCTTCAAACATAACGCCAATTGACAGTCATATGCCCGAGATCACTTTCCGCCAACGTACTATAGGGAAGATTTTCTTGGGTCTCTACATCAACAAAGCTTGTGACTCCGACAGAATCCCAGTGATTGTCTCCAAGAAATGTGCTCCTGAACTAACACCTGTTTTCTGCAAGTTGTTCAACTACTCTTACAATTTGGGGATATTCCCGTCCAACTAGAAAATTGCAAGAGTACAACCAGTTCCTGAAAGAGGCAAACAGACCCTACCTAGTAACTACAGACCGATCGCACTGCTATCTATCATTTCAAAGATCATGGAGAAAGCTATCGAACATCGAGTTCATAAAATACCTGGAACATTCAAGTATTATCAAAGATAGGCAATATGGCTTCCGTCATCAGAGATCAACTGGTGACCTGCTCGCTTTCGTCTTACATATATGACAGCAATCTATTGAAGAATATGGTGAAAACTTAGCCGTGGCACTTGACATCTCCAAGGCATTCGATCGCGTCTGGCACCATGGACTCTTCGCCAAGCTTGCATCTTATGGCTTGCCTCCCCAGCTATGTTCTCTGCTAGCTTGTTTTCTCTCAGACAGGTCTCTCTATGTAGTGGTCAACGGAGTCCCATTTGACTCTCTCATCATAAATGCTGGTGTTCCGCAAGGATCAATTGTAGCACAAACACTATTTCTCCTCCATAACAACGATTTGTTTGGAAGCAACTTCATATCTAGTACACAGCTTCGGGGATGATAGTACCATCCATACCGCCTTCTCTTCCAGGGCTCCAATACCAGCCAGAAAAAACAAAAACGCGCGAGGGAAAAATGTTGAGAACATAAATATGGACTTGGCAACAATTCTCGGATGGCGATTCAATAACTCCGTAGATTTCAATGCGAACAAAACATAAGCATGCCTTCTCTCTAGAAAAGACGATCTCACTGTGCCCAACATAAGCTTGTCAGGAGTAACCATACCATTGAAGACACCCATTTCGATGCTTGGTATTACTATCAGCAATAACCTTTCTTAGGAAAATCACGTGAGATCAATTGCTGAGAGTGCATCCCAAAAACTTGGTTCACTATTTCGAACCAGGAGCTATTCCACTTCCAGTCAGCTGCTCATGACCTATAAGGCACATATTCGACCTGTTCTGGAATACCGTTCCTATATTGGAGTGCAACACCCAAACATACCCTGAAACTGTTGGATTCGTCGAAAAAAAGGGCAATTCGTCTCGTAGGTGATGCCTCGCTCACAAACTCACTCACTTCTCTGGAACACCTTAGAAAAGTTGGCGAACTGACTCTATCATTCCATGGGCTATGCTCTACTGAAATATCAACATTTGTTTCTCCCTTGGCCGTCCCCGCGAGATCGACCCGTCGAGTTGAGGCTTCGCACCCCCTTGTGGTCACTTTGGAGACCTGAAAACATCTCTTTTCAAAGACTTTTTTATCCAACGATCAGCGAGGCTCTAGAACACATTGCCAAGACAAGTGTTCCCTGAGGCATAAAACCTCCAGAAATTCAAGAAGAACACCAATTCCTACCTCATTTTCCTTGGTTCTCACGATGTTTTCTGAACATCACAGGATATCCCTTCTCGTGGAAACCAGGACATAAAAAAATTGACGCTTTCTGGAATGCAACTGGGGAAGGTGTAGTTTACATCACCATTCTGAAGGGGAGAATCAACATATCTTGTATCATAAGGAGTACCTACATTTCTTCTGATTTCCGCAATCTGCACCCTCTCCTCGTAGCTGCTCTGATAGGGATACACGTGCAACAGAAACGGCCACACTTCTCGCCTGATTGACCTGTCCATGCCCGAGAAAAAGATGCACTTTCTCAACGACAAATCGTCGTCGATGTGACCGCCGTCGCTGAACAAGCGCCTGAAGACTTCGTCTGTCAGCTTGGGCACGTGACCTTCTTCCGGGTGCAGCTCCAAGGCGGATACTTCCGGTCTGCATACCATGAAGTGGCGGTACGGGAGGTTTTCTTCGATACCTGTTGGGCAATCATGTCATCAAAAAATAACAAAACACCTTCGAACAAGGCCAGGAACATAGTTGAAGATTGAGATTATAAACAAATTGTTACCCCGCCGCCACTGTAGAATTAAAAAATTTACCTACAATGGTGGATTAATAATCAAATTAGCTCTTAGGCTTCTTCGCCCAACTGATGAGACCTGGAAGGTCAAATGCTCACACATTGCACCCGTAAATATCGTTGGGTTGAGGTGAAACCTGAATCCCAGTTTACCTACTGCTTCGGATGTGAGCTTTCGTTCTTCCGGGTCTCATCAGTTAGGCGAAGAAGCCTATGAGGTAATTTGTAGTTGGTTCAAGAAGTAGTTCTCGAACGCAAAGAACAATGTTTGTTTATATTGCTGAAGACACAAAGGCTGTGCCAGTGCGTTACCACCGATAAAACAAGGCCAGAAGACTATGACGTAAACAGCTCGAGACGTCACCAAGAGAGGCCAGTGTTTTATTTCATCGCTTGTCGACTAACGCGTCAGTTCGTGTTAATTCATCGGTGATTCACGTTGTTTTTGAAACGGTCCCGAATTCTTTTATTGTTCATTCATCAAAATAATTGGCGGAAAAATTACTGTTTTGTGAAATTTGTCGGGGGAATTATGTGGGTGGTTCGAAAGTTCATGCTTTTAGTTTCCCGTTGGACGAGGAGCTATCGAAAATGTGGGTATATGCAATTCACCGCGAGGACTTTACTCCATCTAAGTTCAGTAGTAAACAGAGCTTAATTCAAAATGATGAATTAATAATAGAAGACAATTACTCTCTCATTAAAAGTATAAGTAGAGGAAAGATAGAAAAGCGTTGATTGTGCAGTTAGTTTTGTATTCGTATATTATAGTCAACAAAATCATCTCTGAATTCGAGGAAATTTTCTTGAATGTTCATAATAAACGGGCATTTTTAATTCTCATTCTCAAATTTCTTTCTGAAAACGGTCATTTGCCTCGTGGCAATGAATGCAGAATTCAATCCAATGATCAAATTGCAACTATCATATTAACATGAACTACTAACACTCTACCTAAAAAGGTAAAACTGAATTTATCATGATGTTTATCATGGAGATATTTGACTAAAAAGTTCCAAATTTCACCTTCTCTTTCACCTTCTGGATGGCATTTAAAACAAATTAGCCTTCTTTTCTCATCATATTGAAAAATTTATATATAATTCAACTATAAATATGATTTTCTTGAGTTCTGTGAAAAGAAGGAAGAATATCATTCAAAATAATGGTGCGTGTAATGTCATTCGAAAGCAATCTATTGACATTTGACATCTCGTATTTTGATTGACTATTGATTAAATGGTCTTCATCTGGAATGCTTGTTCACTAAATATGAGAAACTCGCCATAAAAATCATATTTCCTGTTGAATTTTCTATATAAAAATGTGCCATCGAAGTACATCATGAGTATATAAAGTGTCCAATGACAAAATATGAGCAAGTAGCTTCAAATGCTCCCAACACAAGGAGAGAAAGAAGGCAAAATTTCGAACTTTTTCTTGAAATATCTCAATAAATAGTGGTTTGTTCACATTTTCATTATAAAATTCGGTTTATCAGACAAAAATACGTGAGTACCGAAAAAATTTTTCAAAAAAAAACCATCGCATGATAAATGCAGTTTTACCCTTAAAAATTACGGTTTCAAGTGTAACGATCCGCTTGGGTGAAAAATCCAACAAGAGAAAATTGAAAACACTCACTGGTTATTTTTTCAGGTAATAGGAATTCTCCAAGATAAATATGGGTAATTGTAACAAACGATAAGTTTATGTTCTGCGGGCCCTGTATAAGTAGGTGTGAAGTTTACCTTCACCACAATTTTTGCCAATATTTTTAATTCGAATGGGTTGCTGTACGTGGATATTTGTGTTTTATCCTGGTTTTTGCTTTAAAACTTCGTTTTTCCATAATAAAATCGAATGGGGTGCGAAGAAGGGCTCAGTTGACGACTGGCATCCTTTTTTAACCGGAAGCCCTTCAAAAAACAGCAAAATCGGCTCAATGGTGATCTGAAACTGAAATCGAAATACGCGGTCGCCTTATAGCGCTATAAGCGCTTGTCGTTTCGAGCCGCTGGTTAGGCCTCACTAAGTGACGTCACCCATGGAGCATGCAGGCCTTGTTGTATCGGTGGTAACGTCTAGTGTCGGCATCTGCGGAGTTCTACAATCTCAAGCGACTTTTGTTTTTTGTGCTATGCACTTTTGACATTTGTTAAAGCATAAAACTAAAATGGTGGATATTTTGCAGGGAGAAATTGCATTAGAGTCACAAAATGGTGGAACTGAAAAATAGTTAATCCTCTATCGTTCTCTAATTTTGCGACCATTTTCAAGATTGATTCACGAAGGCGAAAATTCTGTATAGTTTCATTCAACACTAAAATACAACTTCAGTGGAAGCTTTGCTAAGTTTTTTGTTTTTTAACTCTCAAATGATTGACCTCAGTCAAATCGATGATAGAATTGCACAACTTGATGAACCAGCTATTAAGATAAGTTCGATGTCTACAGAGCGACCTGCAGGTCAACGCAAACCTTTCAGGAGCTCATAGAAAGTCATTCATAACCTATTCAGCATCAGTTACCTCAGTGGGTACTAAATCTTGCCGTTGTTGCAGATATTCTCCAATAATTGGAAAAAAATGCGGTAATACGTGTACCTTATACAAGGTGGATCTGGAAGTGAGGTTTTTTTTTATTTAACAGGGTATACAGGGTGTGATTTCGTTGATGGCTGAAATTATAGGATATGGTTACTTGGCTCATTTCAAAAATAAAAGTTTTCATAAACATATGCCCTAAACCTCTGAACATAAGAGTTTCATGAGTGTTGAAATTGAATATTATCTTCATTGATTGATTGATTAGGATTTTTCGCAATGTAAATACTGTCACTTCCATAAATACTTGTCGAAATAAGACCGCAACGTAGTCGATTGAATGTCATTATTTTAAATACAAAATAGGTCACTAGCACACTAGCCTACTAGTTCAAAATTTTTTTTCATGCCACAAATGCACGAAAATATTTTGTATTTTTTTACGCGGAGACGGCTTCTCGGACGGAAAAACTTCGAGGAGTCTAATTGAAAAATATTCTTCATTTTCAGCAATCAATTGAATTACACTCTGTATATCTCGCCAAGATGAGTTGTTCGGCCAAAAATTGTTTATTTGGAAAATGTAAGATAACAGTTCACTTCAAAACGAAAATCAATAGGTTGACAATGTGAAAAGAGGTTTTTGATTGATTTTTCTGATGAAATATTGCAACTGTAGGGTACCTATCTAATGCTAATCTAATATCGACAAAATGATTGATATTCAGAATCCTATTTGAACCTCTGACTACCTGTACCTCCGTTATCTTAAATATTTTATATCATGTTCGCGAATAAACCTCACATTCAGATTCCCCGTGTATACCTTATAGGAGATATTTACACTTTCTCTATTACTGTATAATAGATAGACTGATAGATTTGTCGATCTCTCCGATCCATTTTCATCACATGAAATGGGTCGAACCAAGAGTCCAACCATATGTGGTCGGTTGAGAATCACGATAAAATTGATAGACGTATAACTATCTTAATTTGAGAGACAGGGTGAGTCATGACTAACGCCAGCCGTAGGATGATGGCGGATAGAGAAAGTCGAGGTAAGTTGATACATAGGTATGTGAAAAATTATATTTTGCTCATTCGTAGCTATTTGAAAAACCTCTGAGTATATTTATATAGAGTGACCTGGAGGTCGATGCAAACCTTTCAAGAGCTCACAAAAGTCATTCAGAACCTACACATGCAGCTTCAGTTATCTCAGTACTGGATCACAAAGCAGAGGAACTCAAAGTCATTACCAAAATAGTTCATAAAATGAACGAGAATGCCAGATAACGAGAGAAATACAACTACTTTCCTGGCTATATGCGACGCATTGGATAACTTCCTCCTGAAATTCATGCAATAATTCGTATGGACAAATAAAATCACAAGTGTTTCCTTCCTAATCGCCGAGCTGCGCCTAAGTGATTCAGTAGCGCGTGACTACCTACAGACTCCGGTTTCGAACTATTGGCTCTAATCAGTGCAGGGCTGTCCCAGATAGCATTGTTGACCGCTATCTGGTGCGACCTGACCCAACGTAAACGCATCTCAGCATTCATACTCCACGAGGCGTTCAACGCCGAACGCCACCTGGCAAGGAAAGAAACACTCCAAAACAAGATTCTTCATCCATTCATTTCAGGCAATGAACTCAATATAGGGTGGTCCGTTTTTTGATACGGAAAATTCAACAGCGTATAGTACTCGTTGAAATGATGAATAAACTTCCTATGAACATGTACTTTTAAACGTATCGTTTTCGAGATATAGGGTGTTCAAGTTTCTTTGAAAAATCGATTATTTATTGATTTCTCAGAAATGCTATAACCGATTGTGATGAAATTCAAATCTATTGTGAAAATATCAATGAGCTAACTTTCAGACCTATCACTGTTCATGAATGACCCAGCAAACATCTTGATATGGGGCATCAATGGCCTAGTATATTTTTCCCATACCTGACATCAGCGGCCCAGTAAATGGTCCCATATGCGGGACTCTATATATCAGTACACTGCGGCCGGCAGCTGGTCCCAGTGCTGGGTACCCAGCAATCATATTCAGTTCCCCGGCAAAAGGCCAGTACAACATAATCGACACATTGAGTTTCCCATAGCAAGCCCAGCATATACATAAATGATGGGACTGTAATGGCCAATTAACGACATTGGTTACATACTATCGAGGTAGGGGAGGGGTAGGGGTTTTAGGGGTCCAATGGATCTGGAAGTTCTAGTACCTCTTTATTTCACAACATAACCCTCCCATCATAAATCAGACACAAACCAGATTTCAAGAAAACAATTTTATGAATGACACAATGATATCTTCTTAACCTAT